GGGTCCTGCTGTCACCCACAGCGGGGCGACTCGGGGCTCCTGGTTTAACCCCTGAGCCTCAGTTTTCACAACTGTAAAATAAGTAGAATGCTGCCTGCCTCTCAGGGCCACAGGGACAACTGAGGAGGATATGTTCAGGGGCCAGCGTAGTGGCACAGGGGGTAGTCCACTGCTCGTGGCACCAGCATCCCACACGGGCACCAGTTCGTGTCCCGGCTGCTCCACTTCCGCTCCAGCTCCCTGTTGGTGGCCTGGGGAAAGCAGTGAACAATGGCTCCGGTCTTTGGGCCCCTGCCACCCATGTAGGAGACCTGGAAGAAAGAAGCTCCTGGGTCCTGGCATCGGTCTGGCCTGCACTGGCCGCTGTGGCCATCTGGGGAGTGAACCAGCAGATGGGAGATCTCTGTGATTCTTTCAAAATAAATAAATAAGTCTTTGTTTAAAGAAAAAAAAAAGAGGATAGGTTCCTCCAAAGATACAAATGAGCTCCCACTAGGTCTCAAGGACTGGTCTAGGGCTGAGAACACAGCAGCAAAACCAAGCCCCTGCTGTCAGGGAACTCGGGGTCCCGCACGGGAGGTCGGAGAAGCAGGACAAGTGCAGCAGCGCTGAGTGCTGCCAAGACAGCTGAGCAGGGCAAGGGGGCAGAGGCCGTCAGGACGGCGGGGGAGGCTGACCCTCCGAACACGGCTGATCAAGGAGGGCCCCCTGGAGGAGGTGACTTCTGAGCCGAGACGTCAAACAGGAGGGCTGGCATTGTGGTGCAGCAGGTCAAGCCGCTGGCTGGGACACCCACAGCCACGTCAGAGTGCCTGTCTGCGTCCTGTCTACTTTGCTCTAACCCAGCTCCCTGCTAATCAGGCTGGGAAGCTGTATAAGATGTCCCAAGTGCTTGGGCCCCTGCCACCCATTGGGGGAGATCCAGAGGGAGTTTCTGGCTCCCAGTTTTGGCCTGGCCCAGCTCAGGCTATTGCAGCCATCTGGGGGAGTGAACCAGCGGACGGGAGATCTCTCCTCCTCCCTCTGTCACCCCTTTAAATAACTAAGTGAATCTTAGAAAGAATGGGGGGCCAGTGCCGTGGTGCAGAGGGTTAAGCCACTGCCTGTGACACAGCGTCCCTCATGAACTCCTGTTCCAAGTCCCAGCTGCTCCGCTTCCGGCCCAGCTCCCTGCTAACCTGGCTGGGAAAGCAGCGGAAGATGGCCCAAAGGCTTGGGCCCCTGCACCCACGGAGGGGACCCGCATGGAGCTCTAGGATCTTGGCTTCAGCCTGTCCCAGCCCTGGCTGTTGCAGTCATTCGGGGAACGAACCAGGGGGTGGAAGATGTCTCTCTCTCTCTCTAACTCTGCCTTTCAAATAAATAAATAAATCTTCAAACAAACAAACAAAACGAAGGGGCTGCAGCCTTATGAAGCAAAGCCAGGCCCACGGACAGGCAGGCGTACGTGCACTGCGTGGTATGTACGCTGTATTTTAGTAAAATGCTCAGAAAATGAGAGCACTCGGAGAAGAACGCACAGGAGCAGCCCGGAGGCCCGGGTGTCTGAGGACAGACACGAGGCCGGGAGCAAGGGGAGGGGTGGAGGCTGGGAGCCGAGCGAGGGGCCGAGGCCAGATCACACAGGCTCTGCAAGTCGTGAAAAGACTTAAAATAGAAGTAAAAATAATAGAATAGCCGTTATTATTACTGCTGCTATAAATAAGACAGCACTTTCCAAAACACGAGGCCCGCTGCTCGCGGGAGCCCCGCGCTGGCCTCTCCTGCTGCTTTTCCACCGGTCTCCAATTTGTCATCTCGCTGCAGCACGAGCTGCCAAGTCCGTTTTCGTCCACGGCTATAAAAAGCCCGCTGGAGCGGGCGGTGCCGATGACCCAACGCGGGCCTAAGATTAGCCCAGGAGGCTGTCACCTTCCCTTAATGTGAGCAGCAGCTGGGATTCCCCTTGCTTGGAAAACTTCAAGTGTTCCACCCACCCCGCGGCGCCCCTGCTGGCCACGGTGGCCATGGAGATGGGAACGGGGATGCGTTTTGGAAAAAAAGAAGTTGAGCAACAGGGATTCCCCCTGCTGAAGGCGGCTGGGCCGGGCCGAGCGCTCCCGAGGTCAAAAGAGCAGGACAGGCTCCTGCAAGTGCAAGGGGTCCCCTTGCCGGACCCCCTCCCCCTCGGCAGGAACCCTCCCCCACACTTCTCCAGCACCAGGCTCAAACCCACCGCCCTGAGATGGCTGAGGCCGATCAGCGCTGGGCTGGTCTTTTCCCGAGCAGGTCTCAGCCCGCAGCTGCACGGACCAGCTGTGCAGTGTGCCCGGGGTCTCTGAGCGTCTCTGTGCTCGGAGGCCCACCATACAGGAGCAGGAGGGCAGTAGCTGTCGCCAGGAACCCGATCAGCCCCTCGCATCGGGCGCGCAGAGGGAGACCTGGCCCATCGCTTCTCGTTACTACGGTTGGTGGCCTTCAACTTCTCTCAGTTGCACAGCATACATTTGGCTCCCCTTGGTCTTTGCACAGCCAAAAGCCAGCAGCAGCAAAAGCTAACGTTTATGAGCCTGCCCTGCTGCGCCGCACACAGAGAGCCCAACCTGGAAGATCTCAGCCATCGCCTGCCCTCACGGGGTAGGGACATCGTGCAGGGCGTCTTACAGACGGAAAGGCTGGGTCAGGGAGGCGGAGCGACCCACGCTGGCGGCCACAGCGACTAAACGCAGAGCAGGATCCGAACTCGGGCCTTCCGACGGCAGCAGTATGGCTGGCCAGGGCAGGGCCTGCGCAGGGATGGCACCGGGAGCCCAGACAACCAATGCTCCCCGGTGCAATCTCATTTTACAAAGAGGGAAACTGAGGCACAGGGAGACTGAACAACGGGCGGGGCTGGACACTGCCTGTGGACGCGTCCCTGGCCCCCGACAGAGACCGAGCTGTCCACCTGGTTTGGGAGGGGGCCGGGGAGAGGACAGGGGCCCGCCCACAGACACGGCGGCATCCCGGGAGCTGTGGCTGCGACTTCCTGCGATGCTCAGCTCTCCAGAGCCGAGGCCAGCTCTGCCTCTTCTTCCCTTCGAGAGGCAAACGTGCGAAACGTCTCGAGAAACGCAAAGAACGGAAGCAACTGAGCGCCACTCATCCACTCATTCGTTCATTCGTTCATTCACCAACTCACTCAACAGACGCTTCCTTGATGCCTCTGGGCAGCGCCGAAGAGCGTGAGTTCCCAGGACACTTGGCAGCCGCTGGCTCCGAGCCACTGTGCCCGCAGCACGGCCCCGCCCCAGCCCCTCCCTGCTAGCTGTGTCAACCTGGACGGCGGTGGCAAGGTGTGTGCCCCTCATCAGTATCTTCTCTTCGCCGTCCGCGGGCTTCCTGGGAAAGCCAGCAGGAGGCCAGCCACACGGCTTCCCGGTCTGCAGAGGCAGCAAAGCCGGAGAGGCTCTGTCTACCTGGTCACTGCCATGCCACGCCTCCCTCCGGCTCAGGAACTTCCCGTGAGTCCCCATCACCTCACCCCTGCCCAGGCCAACCCAAAGCCATGTCTGGCCCCGGCGCTGGGAGACCCCATCCTGGCTGCTCATCCAAGTGCATTTCCTGGTGCCGATCAGCCTCGCTGCCTCTCGAGAGTCTAGCAAGTCCTTCCCCCAGAGGGCAGCGCACAGGGGCCACCACTGGGGACAGTGAGCCCTCCCCAAGCGTACGAAGAGATTCAGAGCGGCCCACGGCCCTGGAATCCACTGCACCACCACGGCCCGAACGCTAGGCATGGCGAGGGAGGAGAGGATTCACTGGGCACTAACTGTGCGCCGGGCACCGTCATAGGTGCTCAACACGCGAGGAGGCAACCTCACGCCCGCCCCAGGAAGCAGGCGGGCATCGCCCTCATCACACGGACGGACAAGGCAGCCCTGTCCTGCGACCTGCCCCAGGTCACAGCTTCAGAAAGCAATGGCATCAGGGTTCAAGCACCAGCAGCCTGGGTTGAAAGCTTGAGTTCCTATCTCATGGACGAAGGCAGCACATTTGCTCCCCACTGAGAGGCTTCTCTCAGCACACAGCTGGAAGCCAACAGGGGGGTCGGCTCAGGAAAGCACTACAAACCCACAGGACAGCACGCAGTACACCTGCTTGAAATCGGGTCCTCAAAGAATATCCAAAACTTGGACAAATGCCAGTGATGCGCCACCATTCACAAAACAGGACTCAAGTATGGGTACAAGAAGATTTCAGCATAAGCCAGGCCTGTGCTGGCTGGGTTAGCCCTTTGAGGCAAAGCAGGGAGGGGCCGGGCCTCTGCTCCCCTCCACAGGTGACACCCCTTGGGCCTGACCTGGTGGGAAGCACAGGTGGAGGACCCACGGGACCTCAGGCTCCCATCCTGCCCCTCCCCGCTTGGAACCTCTAGCCTGCAGACAAGTGCTTCTCCACCAGGGGCAGTCTTGCCCCCCAGGGCACAGTTCTCAGTGCCGGGAGACACTTTTGGTGACCCCCACCTGAGCAGTGCCACCGGCACCAGGTGGGGAGAGGCCAGGGGCAGTGTCACAACAAGGCTTCGGCCCACAATGCCCACAACGCCAAGGCTGTGAGTGCAGTCATGGACCCTTCAAGCCCAGAAAGGCTGGCTGATTTGCCCAAGGTCACACAGCAAGCACGTAGCAAAGTCAAGATTCTAACCCAGGACAATGAGGGCCAGCATGTGCCCACTGAACCACCATTTTGATTGCCCTTCCTTTGTGATAAGAGAAAAAAGTTTACAAAGTTGGCCTTGCTCTTAGGGAAAAAATAATTTTAAAAAAAGCTGAGGGGGACGGACAACCATCAGAATTACCCAGGGTCAGTTAAAATACATTACAGCCCATGTAGTGGTCAACTGCACAATCGCCAAAGACCCAGGGAGCAAAAGAGCTGGGTATAAAATTCTACACCGTGGGATCTACCGATGGGTACGAAAAAGAGACAGCCACTTCTGCACGGCTCCAGAGGACAGAGAGAGAGCTCAGAAAGCCACTGACCGGTGGTCTTCTCAGTAAACACGACTTTGGACTCGGCCGTAAAGTTCTGTCCAGTGAGGATCATCTGCTGGCCCCCGTAGACCAGGCAGCTGTCGGTGTCTTGTCTCTCCACCATGGGCAGCTCGTGGGCGGATCGCTGGGCTGAGGGGAAGAGAAAAAGAAAGGCAGTGGGGTGAAGGGGGGGCTCTGCTCTGAGGAGGCAGGCAGTGGTCCAGCTGCAGCTACCCACGTCCGCCCGCCACCCGTTGTTATGGCAACTGCAGAGCTGTCCCATGGAAGACAAGCCCTATGTTCCCGTAAAAGCGCCCCAAGTGACCCCAGCTCATTTCATTTTAGTGACACATTTTGTTTTCAAGAATCAAGGAATGAATGCTTGTTCCCAGGGAGACTTTTTTTTTTTTTTTAAACGAGATGGGCAAATTGAAATTTTTGTACGGTTTCCTTTCAGTGTTTTCTCTCTCTACATTCAGCGTCAGCACCACACCAGCTCAACTTTGGCCCTGCTCCTGGAAGGCTTCGGACATGCTCACTCCTGAATTCATCTGTGACCTGAACACGGCCTGTAAGCCGGCACAGTCTGCACCCCGCGGGCTCATCTCCAGAACTCTCCCTCCCTCACTCTGCTCTGGCCATGGTCTCTGAACCACCTGGCACACTCCAACCCTTGAGCACCTGCGTGTGTGAGTCCCACGTGGCTCTCCCCTCCTGGCTGCTTCCCCAAGAGGTGCCCTTAACCCTATCCCCTCTGCCTCTACCTCCCAACCCCAGACACAATAGCAGGACCAGCCCCGTGTGTCTGTCTTTGCAGCCTTTATCCTGTTACGACTGGTTTATCTTCTGTCCTCTCTCCCGCCACACACTCACTACAACGGATGCCCCAGGAGGGAGGGGGCCTACTTGGTGCACTGCCTGCTGGGAGCCCAGCGCCGGGACCCACGCTGGGGAGGCCGTAGGAGGAGCACAGGAGGGCGGGCACTGGATACAGATCTACAATAGGTGCTCAGGATCTGAAAGACGGAAGCACAGGGCAGCCTCGTGCTGCCCACATCACCAGACTGGTGCACAGACGCTCACGGCACCCCTCGCAGGAAGGAAGTATGAAAATTACTCACACTCGACTGCAGAGAAAACTGGAGCTGAGACTCAGGGCGCAGGACAAGGCCTGGCCTGGACCCTCGCACCCAGCCCTGCCCAGCCCTGAGCCCGGTCACTTAGCCACCCTCCCCCTCCAAGTTCCCATCCGCGGGGCAGGCATGCTGCAGGGACGATGGAGACCCTCCCCAGGTACCTTCCCAGGCTTGGCAAGTGAGGCACAGGTCCCAGTCCCAGCCCCGGCCCCGCCCCCAGAGCAGGGGCCTGGAGGCGGGGCCGCCCCAAGTGAGTCATTTTGAGCTCCTGGCTTTCCTCCCAGAGCTCAGGGAACTGGGCCGAGGGCCAGCCCTGCTCATGCCAGGGGCCTGCGGGCCTCCCTATCCGGGAGCCGAGGCAGCAGCCGCGGGAGGCCCAATGCGACCCCTCCGCTCCGGGCCCGCCTCCGGCTGCCCTGGGCTGCGGGGCCACGTTGGCGGAGCAGAGATGTCGTGCGCCAGCCCAGAGGCTGCCTCACTCTTCACCTGGACACTGCAACCCGGCTGCTGCCCATCCGTGCCGCTGCGAGGGGCTGCGGGCTCTGGGTCCACGCCAAGGCTGTCCCAGCAGCTGCCCAGGGCTCCCACGGGGGCTCCGTGATGAGGCCTCGCTTTCAGCATGGGGGTTGGGGGTGGCGTCCTAGCTGGGCTGCCACGGATGGAGACTGGCAGTGCAGACACCAGCCGCAGGTCTCGGCTTCGGATGAAGCTGGGGGGTCGCCGGGGCTTGGGGCCCAGGAGGGGGGGATGGCCAGAGCCACGCCTCCCATTTTACAGGTGGAAAGCTTGAGTCATGGCTCCTGGGCGAGCCGGCTGAGGGCTCGCAGCCAGCAGGCCAGGGACTGGACGGGCTGTGAGCTCCCCGCGCGGGGCGGGCGGCTGCTGTGTGAATCACTGCTCGCTGCACTCCCTGCAAAGCCTGGGATCCAACCCCTGCCAGCCTGGCACTGCCCACTCCTCACCCGGAGGAGAACTTGTTTTTCATGAAAATTTAAAGAGACAGAACCGAGAGGGGTGAGGGCGCAGACGGGTTCCCTATCTGCCTTTATCCAACTCCAACAGCTCTGGAGTTCTGTGTGCGGCAGGCTGAGCGCTTTTCAGTTCTCAGCTGGCTGTCACGGGCACGGCCAGGCAGGGCCCACGGCGCTGTCACCGCAGGAAGACACCCTGACGGGCTGCTTGGGCTGTGGGGTCAGGAAGCCTGCACCCGCCACCTCCCTGCTGTGTGGCTCGGGGCAAGTCACTGCACCTCTCTGGGTCGCAGCACCGGCCCTCCCCGCGCGGTGCAGGAGCTCCCCTGCGGAAATACAAAGGCATTCCAAGCCCCTGGGAGCATGCGATTAAAAGAGAACCTCGTTTTGGTGCAGAAGGTTTTGCCATCCACGCACAGTTGGGTTTTTTCCCCTCCATGGAACCTGAGCCATACTCCAAGTTTGCAGACCCCGGCGGCCATGGTTTCTCGAAGTGTTCCCTAGGTTGTCTGCTGGAGGAGGACTTGATAAAAATGCAGACGCCCAGGCCACAGCCACCGGGCCCCCACTCTTAGGCACATTTGCATCCGAACAAACCTTCTAGGTGACTTACTACACACACACACACATGTTTAAGAGGCTACCTGAGGACAGGGGATCTCCTCTGGGCAGGCCCCAGTCCCAGGAGAGCCCCGGGGCAAAGCAAAGGAATCCAATTAGCCTCTGAAAGAGGAACTGCAGGGCCAACAGCAGCAACAGGACCCCCACCCCCACCCCCACTCTCAGCCGCTCTCTGAAGCAGCCTGCAGCTCCTCCGCTGCTAACCGGGTGACACATCCAGGACTGGGGGGTCCCTCAGGAAGCCCGCTGGGACCCCCAGGCCTGTGCCCGCCCCCTGCCCCCCGCCCCCGTGAGCCCTCACCGACTCTCCCTCCTTGCTCCTCTGGAGATCCCCGGGCAATCCGTACCCTTGGCCTACAGGTCTCTAACCAGACCCTGAGCGAGCCTGGAGGGCTTGCGTCTGGCCTGGGGGGTGGGAGGTGGGGGTTGGGGGCAGCGCGGCCTCCAAGCCAGCCCATCTCCCAGGAATGCCCTCCAGGCCCCGGCTTCTGGCCCATCAGAGAGCGACTTGGGGCTCTGGTATTTTACGAGCTCTGACCCACAGGGCGCTGTTGGCTTACCCAGCCTGCGAGCTTTCACTGGCAAGAGCCTGGCGGTAGAGCAGCAGCCCCTGCAAGGGGGCCAAGAACCACAACCCACTGAGAGAGCCCAGAAGCGAGGCAGGCGAGGCGGGTGGGAAACTCACTGCAGCAGAGCAGGGGTGGGCGCCAGCCCTGCACACGAGGCCTGCAGCATCCAGGCACCGCCATGCCAGCTTTGTCTGTTTGTCTGTATTCACACGGACGCACTGGGAGGTGCCCTAGGGTCCCGGATGAGCAAAGATGCTGCAGCGTGGCCGCCCAAGTTCAAAGCCCAGCTCAGTGACACCTGGGCGCTGGGGCGTTGGCCAAGTCTCGGCCCCTCTCCACGCCTCCCGTCTCCTCTCTGGATGGAGAAGCGCCCCCGCCCAGGGCCGCCTGCAGGGGCACAGAGGCCGCGCACAGGAAGGGCCGGCATCACTGGTGCTCAGGAAGTGTTTCTGTTGCTGAACCCCCGAATCCACAAAGCAGGGGTGATCCCCATCGTGGAGCCGGGGACACGGAGCTTGGCACAGGGGGTGGGGGTGGTTCCTGGGGGCTCACAGCAGCACACCCGGTGTCAGGGGGATCTGGACTCAGACCCCGGAACTCCACGGCCCCTACTGCTACCCGAGACAGCAGTAGGGGCCCAGGTCGTCGCTCTGGCGCCACACCAGCCGCAGCGCCCTGGCTGCTGGAAGGCCCTGTCTCTGTATCAGGTCTCCGTCCTTGGCTGCGAGCCTGGCCCAGTGAGACCTGGCTCAGCCCAGGATGTGGTGCCGACTCGGGCCTCGCCTGGGAGGGGCCATGGGCAGCGATCGGGTCCTCTCCTCCACACTGGATGTCCCTGGATCTTCCCCAGGAGGTGTGTGGGGTGGGGTGGGGTGGGGTGGGGTGGCAAGGGGACACCAATTCTCCCGTCTTGTGGGGCTGGTCTCCATGAGGGGCACAGGAAGGTGGCTTGGGGTGGGCAAATGCACAGATCTGCAGTACATGAGACCACCTTTTAGCTGTGGAACTCAGGGACCTCGGCTTACTCACACGGGAAATGGGGCAGCAGTAGCCACCCCGTGACATGTCACGTCCTGACCCAGCCATCCTCAGAGCACAGGTGCAAGGTGGGCGCTCTCGCTTTCTCTCCTGGCCAGACTGACACTCTACCACCCACAACAGGCCAAGGGGCAGCGTCCTCCGGAGAATTCCCCAACACCTGCACAGAACCTGGCCTCCCCACCGGATGAGCTCCCAGCGGCTGGGGTTGGGCCACGGGGCCCCAGCACTTCCGGAGACCCGGCTGCTCCGCCAGGGCAGCACAGGCGCCTTGCTCGCTGCTCACCGGGCACAGGCCGCTGGCTCAGGGACCAGCTCTCAGCACGGCCTCTCAAGGTTATCATGAGGATGGAGATGAGCGAAGGATGCCTCAGAAAGTCGGTGGGAAATGGAGTTACCATGAAAGTTGGTTTTGGGGCAAAAATCTTTGAAATTGATCATGCTTGTTTTTTTTTTTAATAATACGCATTTCCCATGAACTTTCTGAAAACCCCTCATAGGCATGGATTTCCAAAGTTTTTGACCAGGATTGGCGCTGTGGAATAGTGGGTAAAGCTGTTGCTTACAACACCGGCATCCCACCTGAGCGTAGGTTCAAGTCCCGGCTGCTCCACTTCCAATCCAGCTCCCAGCTATGGCCTGGGAAAGCAGTAGATGATGGCCCAAGTGCTTGGGCCCCTGCACCCATGAGGGAGACCTGGATGAAGCTCCTGGCTCCTGGCATCAGCCTGGCCCAGTCCAGCCCATTGCAGCCATTTGGGAAGTGAACTAGCAGATGGAAGCTCTCTCTCTCTCTCTCTCTCTCTCTCTCTCTC